GTCCGCAAAAAGGATAATGCGATTGCATTGCATGTACTACGGATGCGATCATACCAGCACTAATGCACCGGATCCCATCAGAACTCCGCAGTTTAAGCGTGCTTGGGCGAGAGTAGTACTAGGATGGGTGACCTCCCGGGAAGTCCTCGTGTTGCATCCCTTTTTTTTTTTTTTTTTTTTTTTTTGCTTATGACTTATCACCTTCGGAACGCCATAACTTTAAAACCGTGAGGCCAAACTCGACTGTGATACCTTTTCGGAAAGCCCAAGAGCCCTTCGAGAGGCAATGGGCAATGGGTCTTCGTGCCATTGTTTTTTTTTTCGACACCAAATTTTGACGTTTAGGGGCTTTTCCGGGCCATTTTGTCATCCGTACCATATTTCGGACCGAAATCGATTTTTCAGACATTGTTTGCGCATATTTTCCTTGTCTTGAAGCTCCTTAGGACTAGCTGATGTGGCCCACGTAGCAGGTGGGACCCACGGCGAATGATTCTTAGAGTCCGCAAAAAGGATAAATGCGATTGCATTGCATGTACTACGGATGCGATCATACCAGCACTAATGCACCGGATCCCATCAGAACTCCGCAGTTAAGCGTGCTTGGGCGAGAGTAGTACTAGGATGGGTGACCTCCCGGGAAGTCCTCGTGTTGCATCCCTTTTTTTTTTTTTTTTTTTTTTTTTTGCTTATGACTTATCACCTTCGGAACGCCATAACTTTAAAACCGTGAGGCCAAACTCGACATGTGATACCTTTTCGGAAAGCCCAAAGAGAGCCCTTCGAGAGGGGCAATGGGCAATGGGTCTTCGTGCCATTGTTTTTTTTTCGACACCAAATTTTGACGTTTAGGGCTTTTCCGGGCCATTTTGTCATCCGTACCATATTTCGGACCGAAATCGATTTTTTCAGACATTGTTTGCGCATATTTTCCTGTCTTGAAGCTCCTTAGGACTAGCTGGTGAGGCCCACGTAGCAGGTGGGTCCACGGCGAATGATTCTTAGAGTCCGCAAAAAGGATAATGCGATTGCATTGCATGTACTAACGGATGCGATCATACCAGCACTAATGCACCGGATCCCATCAGAACTCCGCAGTTAAGCGCCTTGGGCGAGAGTAGTACTAGGATGGGTGACCTCCCGGGAAGTCCTCGTGTTGCATCCCTTTTTTTTTTTTTTTTTTTTTTTTGCTTATGACTTATCACCTTCGGAACGCCATAACTTTAAAACCGTGAGGCCAAACTCGACATGTGATACCTTTTCGGAAAGCCCAAAGAGAGCCCTTCGAGAGGGGCAATGGGCAATGGGGTCTTCGTGCCATGTTTTTTTTTCGACACACCAAATTTTGACGTTTAGGGGCTTTTCCGGGCCATTTTTGTCATCCGTACCATATTTCGGACCGAAATCGATTTTTCAGACATTGTTTGCGCATATTTTCCTTGTCTTGAAGCTCCTTAGGACTAGCTGATGTGGCCCACGTAGCAGGTGGGACCCACGGCGAATGATTCTTAGAGTCCGCAAAAAGGATAAATGCGATTGCATTGCATGTACTAACGGATGATCATACCAGCACTAATGCACCGGATCCCATCAGCTCCGCAGTTAAGCGTCTTGGGCGAGAGTAGTACTAGGATGGGTGACCTCCCGGGAAGTCCTCGTGTTGCATCCCTTTTTTTTTTTTTTCTTTTTTTTTTTGCTTATGACTTATCACCTTCGGAACGCCATAACTTTAAAACCGTGAGGCCAAACTCGACATGTGATACCTTTTCGGAAAGCCCAAAGAGAGCCCTTCGAGAGGGGCAATGGGCAATGGGTCTTCGTGCCATTGTTTTTTTTTCGACACCAAATTTTGACGTTTAGGGGCTTTTCCGGGCCATTTTGTCATCCGTACCATATTTCGGGACCGAAATCGATTTTTTCAGACATTGTTTGCGCATATTTCCTTGTCTTGAAGCTCCTTAGGACTAGCTGATGTGGCCCACGTAGCAGGTGGGACCCACGGCGAATGATTCTTAGAGTCCGCAAAAAGGATAAATGCGATTGCATTGCATGTACGGATGCGATCATACCAGCACTAATGCACCGGATCCCATCAGAACTCCGCAGTTAAGCGTGCTTGGGCGAGAGTAGTACTAGGATGGGACCTCCCGGGAAGTCCTCGTGTTGCATCTTTTTTTTTTTTCTTTTTTTTTTTTTGCTTATGACTTATCACCTTCGGAACGCCATAACTTTAAAACCGTGAGGCCAAACTCGACATGTGATACCTTTTCGGAAAGCCCAAAGAGAGCCCTTCGAGAGGGGCAATGGGCAATGGGTCTTCGTGCCATTGTTTTTTTTTCGACACCAAATTTTGAGTTTAGGGGCTTTTCCGGCCATTTTGTCATCCGTACCATATTTCGGGACCGAAATCGATTTTTCAGACATTGTTTGCGCATATTTTCCTGTCTTGAAGCTCCTTAGGACTAGCTGGTGGGCCCACGTAGCAGTGGGACGGCGAATGATTCTTAGAGTCCGCAAAAAGGATAATGCGATTGCATTGCATGTACTAACGGATGCGATCATACCAGCACTAATGCACCGGATCCCATCAGAACTCCGCAGTTAAGCGTCTTGGGCGAGAGTAGTACTAGGATGGGTGACCTCCCGGGAAGTCCTCGTGTTGTCCCTTTTTTTTTTTTTTTTTTTTTTTTTTTTTTTGCTTATGACTTATCACCTTCGGAACGCCATAACTTTAAAACCGTGAGGCCAAACTCGACATGTGATACCTTTTCGGAAAGCCCAAAGAGAGCCCTTCGAGAGGGGCAATGGGCAATGGGTCTTCGTGCCATTGTTTTTTTTTCGACACCAAATTTTGACGTTTAGGGGCTTTTCCGGGCCATTTTGTCATCCATACCATATTTCGGGGACCGAAATGCGATTTTTCAGACATTGTTTGCGCATATTTTCCTGTCTTGAAGCTCCTTAGGACTAGCTGATGTGGCCCACGTAGCAGGTGGGGACCCACGCGATGATTCTTAGAGTCCGCAAAAGGGATAAGCTGCGATTGCATTGCATGTACTGACGGATGCGATCATACCAGCACTAATGCACCGTATCCCATCAGAACTCCGCAGTTAAGCGTGCTTGGCGAGAGTAGTACTAGGATGGGTGACCTCCCGGGAAGTCCTCGTGTTGCATCCCTCCCTCCTTTTTTTTTTTTTCTTTTTTTTTTTGCTTATGACTTATCACCTTCGGAACGCCATAACTTTAAAACCGTGAGGCCAAACTCGACATGTGATACCTTTTCGGAAAGCCCAAAGAGAGCCCTTCGAGAGGGGCATGGGCAATGGGTCTTCGTACATTGGTTTTTTTTGTTTCGACACCAAATTTTGATGTTTAGGGGGTGGCTTTTCCGGGCCATTTTGTCATCCGTACCATATTTCGGACCGAAATCGATTTTTCATACATTGTTTGCGCATATTTTCCATGTCTTGAAGCTCCTTAGACTAGCCGGTGAGGCCACATAGCAGTGGGGTCCCTACTGCGAATGATTCTTAGAGTCCGCAAAAGGATAGAATGCGATTGCATTGCATGTACTAACGGATTCTATCATAACCAGCACTAATGCACCGGATCCCATCAGAACTCCGCAGTTAAGCGTCCTTGGGCGAGAGTAGTACTAGGATGGGTGACCTCCCGGGAAGTCCTCGTGTTGCATCCCTTTTTTTTTTTTTTTTTTTTTTTGCTTATGACTTATCACCTTCGGAACGCCATAACTTTAAAACCGTGAGGCCAAACTCGACATGTGATACCTTTTCGGAAAGCCCAAAGAGCCCTTCGAGAGGGGCAATGGGCAATGGGTCTTCGTGCCATTGTTTTTTTTTTCGACACCAAATTTTGACGTTTAGGGGCTTTTCCGGGCCATTTTGTCATCCGTACCATATTTCGGGACCGAAATCGATTTTTCAGACATTGTTTGCGCATATTTCCTTGTCTTGAAGCTCCTTAGGACTAGCTGATGTGGCCCACGTAGCAGGTGGGACCCGGCGAATGATTCTTAGAGTCCGCAAAAGGATAAATGCGATTGCATTGCATGTACTGACGGATGCGATCATACCAGCACTAATGCACCGGATCCCATCAGAACTCCGCAGTTAAGCGTGCTTGGGCGAGAGTAGTACTAGGATGGGTGACCTCCCGGGAAGTCCTCGTGTTGCATCCCTTTTTTTTTTTCTTTTTTTTTTTTGCTTATGACTTATCACCTTCGGAACGCCATAACTTTAAAACCGTGAGGCCAAACTCGACATGTGATACCTTTTCGGAAAGCCCAAAGAGAGCCCTTCGAGAGGGGCAATGGGCAATGGGTCTTCGTGCCATTGTTTTTTTTTCGACACCAAATTTTGATGTTTAGGGGCTTTTCCGGGCCATTTTGTCATCCGTACCATATTTCGGACCGAAATCGATTTTTCAGACATTGTTTGCGCATATTTTCCTGTCTTGAAGCTCCTTAGGACTAGCTGGTGGGCCCACGTAGCAGGTGGGTCCCACGGCGAATGATTCTTAGAGTCCGCAAAAAGGATAATGCGATTGCATTGCATGTACTACGGATGCGATCATACCAGCACTAATGCACCGGATCCCATCAGAACTCCGCAGTTAAGCGTCTTGGGCGAGAGTAGTACTAGGATGGGTGACCTCCCGGGAAGTCCTCGTGTTGCATCCTTTTTTTTTTTTTTTTTTTTTTTTTTGCTTATGACTTATCACCTTCGGAACGCCATACTTTAAAACCGTGAGGCCAAACTCGACATGTGATACCTTTTCGGAAAGCCCAAAGAGAGCCCTTCGAGAGGGGCAATGGGCAATGGGTCTTCGTGCCATTGTTTTTTTTTCGACACCAAATTTTGACGTTTAGGGGCTTTTCCGGGCCATTTTGTCATCCGTACCATATTTCGGGACCGAAATCGATTTTTCAGACATTGTTTGCGCATATTTTCCTTGTCTTGAAGCTCCTTAGGACTAGCTGATGTGGCCCACGTAGCAGTGGGACCCACGGCGAATGATTCTTAGAGTCCGCAAAAAGGATAATAATCGATGATCCGCAGTTGCGTGCTTGGGCGAGAGTAGTACTAGGATGGGTGACCTCCGGGAAGTCCTCGTGTTGCATCCCTTTTTTTTTTTCTTTTTTTTTTTTTGCTTATGACTTATCACCTTCGGAACGCCATAACTTTAAAACCGTGAGGCCAAACTCGACATGTGATACCTTTTCGGAAAGCCCAAAGAGAGCCCTTCGAGAGGGGCAATGGGCAATGGGTCTTCGTCCATTGTTTTTTTTTTCGACACCAAATTTTTTATGTTTAGGGGCTTTTCCGGGCCATTTTGTCATCCGTACCATATTTCGGACCGAAATCGATTTTTCAGACATTGTTTGCGCATATTTTCCTGTCTTGAAGCTCCTTAGGACTAGCTGATGTGGCCCACGTAGCAGGTGGGACCTACGGCGAATGATTCTTAGAGTCCGCAAAAAGGATAGATGCGATTGCATTGCATGTACTGACGGATGCGATCATACCAGCACTAATGCACCGGATCCCATCAAACTCCGCAGTTAAGCGTCTTGGGCGAGAGTAGTACTAGGATGGGTGACCTCCCGGGAAGTCCTCGTGTTGCATCCCTTTTATTTTGTTTTTTTTTTTTTTTTTGCTTATGACTTATCACCTTCGGAACGCCATAACTTTAAAACCGTGAGGCCAAACTCGACATGTGATACCTTTTCGGAAAGCCCAAAGAGAGCCCTTCGAGAGGGGCAATGGGCAATGGGTCCTTCGTGCCATTGTTTTTTTTTTCGACACCAAATTTTGACGTTTAGGGGCTTTTCCGGGCCATTTTGTCATCCGTACCATATTTGCGGGACCGAAGATCGATTTTCAGACATTGTTTGCTCATATTTTCCTTGTCTGAAGCTCCTTAGGGACTAGATGATGTGCCCACGTAGCAGGTGGGGACCCACGGCGAATGATTCTTAGAGTCCGCAAAAAGGATAATGCGATTGCATTGCATGTACTGACGGGATGCGATCATACCAGCACTAATGTCACCGGATCCCATCAGAACCGCGCAGTTAAGCGTGCTTGGGCGAGAGTAGTACTAGATGGGTGACCTCCCGGGAAGTCCTCGTGTTGCATCCTCTTTTTTTTTTTTTTTCTTTTTTTTTTTTTGCTTATGACTTATCACCTTCGGAACGCCATAACTTTAAAACCGTGAGGCCAAACTCGACATGTGATACCTTTCTGAAAGCCCAAAGAGAAGCCCTTCGAGAGGGGGCAATGGGCAATGGGTCTTCGACCATTGTTTTTTTTTTTCGACACCAAATTTTGATGTTTAGGGGCTTTTCCGGGCCATTTTGTCATCCAGACCATATTTTCGGACCGAAATCGATTTTTCAGACATTGTTTGCGCATATTTTCCAGTGTCTTGAAGCTCCTTAGGACAGCTGGTGAGGCCCACGTAGCAGGGTGGGTCCTACGGCGAATGATTCTTAGAGTCCGCAAAAAGGATAGATGCGATTGCATTGCATGTACTAACGGATGCGATCATACCAGCACTAATGCACCGGATCCCATCAGAACTCCGCAGTTAAGCTCCTTAGGGGCGAGAGTAGTACTAGGATGGGTGACCTCCGCCCGGGAAGTGCCTCGTGTTGCATTCCTCCCTTTTTTTTTTCTTTTGTTTTTTTTGCGTATGACTTATCACCATTCGGAACGCCATAACTTTAAAACCGTGAGGCCAAACTCGACATGTGATACCTTTTCGGAAAGCCAAAGAGAGCCCTTCGAGAGGGGCAATGGCAATGGTTCTTGTGCCATTGTTTTTTTTTTCGACAGCCAAATTTTGACGTTTAGGGGCTTTTCCGGGCCATTTTGTCATCCGTACCATAGTTCGGGACCGAAATCCGATTTTTCAGACATTGTTTGCGCATATTTTCCTTGTCTTGAAGCTCCTTAGGACTAGCTTAATGGGCCCACGTAGCAGGTGGGACCCACGGCGAATGATTCTTAGAGTCCGCAAAAAGGATAAATGCGATGCATTGCATGTAACTGACGGATGCGATCATACCAGCACTAATGCACCGGATCCCATCAGAACTCCGCAGTTAGCGTGCTGGGCGAGAGTAGTACTAGGATGGGTGACCTCCCGGGAAGTCCTCGTGTTGCATCCCTTTTTTTTTTTTTTTTTTTTTTTTTGCTTATGACTTATCACCTTCGGAACGCCATAACTTTAAAAAACCGTGAGGCCAAACTCGACATGTGATACCTTTTCGGAAAGCCCAAAGAGAGCCCTTCGAGAGGGGGCAATGGGCAATGGGTCTTCGTACCATTGTTTTTTTTTTTCGACACCAAATTTTGACTGTTAGGGGCTTTTCCGGGCCATTTTGTCATCCGTACCATATTTCGGGAACCGAAATCGATTTTTCAAGACATTGTTTGCGCATATTTTCCATGGTCTTGAGCTCCTTAGGACTAGCCGGTGAGGCCCACGTAGCAGGTGGTCCTACGGCGAATGATTCTTAGAGTCCGAAAAAGGATAGATGCGATTGCATTGCATGTACTAACGGATGCGATCATACCAGCACTAATGCACCGGATCCCATCAGAACTCCGCAGTTAAGCGTCGCTTGGGCGAGAGTAGTACTAGGATGGGTGACCTCCCGGGAAGTCCTCGTGTTGCATCCTTTTTTTTTTTCTTTTTTTTTTTTGCTTATGACTTAGTCACCTTCGGAACGCCATAATTTAAACCGTGAGGCCAAACTCGACATGGGGATACCTTTTCGGAAAGCCCAAAGAGAGCCCTTCGAGAGGGGCATGGGCAATGGGTCTTTGTGCCATTGTTTTTTTTTCGACACCAATTTTGACGTTTAGGGGCTTTTCCGGGCCATTTTGTCATCCGTACCATATTTCGGGACCGAAATCGATTTTCAGACATTGTTTGCGCATATTTTCCTTGTCTTGAAGCTCCTTAGGACTAGCTGATGTGGCCCACGTAGCAGGTGGGGACCCACGGCGAATGATTCTTAGAGTCCGCAAAAAGGATAATGCGATTGCATTGCATGTACTGACGGATGCGATCATACCAGCACTAATGCACGGATCCATCAGAACTCCGCAGTTAAGCGTGCTTGGGCGAGAGTAGTACTAGGATGGGTGACCTCCCGGGAAGTCCTCGTGTTGCATCCCTTTTTTTTTTTCTTTTTTTTTTTTTGCTTATGACTTATCACCTTCGGAACGCCATAACTTTAAAACCGTGAGGCCAAACTCGACATGTGATACCTTTTCGGAAAGCCCAAAGAGAGCCCTTCGAGAGGGGCAATGGGCAATGGGTCTTCGTACCATTGTTTTTTTTTTCGACACCAAATTTTGATGTTTAGGGGCTTTTCCGGGCCATTTTGTCATCCGTACCATATTTCGGAACCGAAATCGATTTTTCAGACATTGTTTGTGCGCATATTTTCCATGTCTTGAAGCTCCTTAGGACTAGCCGGTGAGGCCCACGTAGCAGGTGGGTCCTACGGCGAATGATTCTTAGAGTCCGCAAAAAGGATAGATGCGATTGCATTGCATGTACTAACGGATGCGATCATACCAGCACTAATGCACCGGATCCCATCAGAACTCCGCAGTTAAGCGTCCTTGGGCGGAGTAGTACTAGGATGGGTGACCCTCCCGGGAAGTCCTCGTGTTGCATCCCTTTTTTTTTTTTCTTTTTTTTTTTTGCTTATGACTTATCACCTTCGGAACGCCATAACTTTAAAACCGTGAGGCCAAACTCGACATGTGATACCTTTTCGGAAAGCCCAAAGAGAGCCCTTCGAGAGGGGCAATGGGCAATGGGTCTTCGTGCCATTGTTTTTTTTTCGACACCAAATTTTGATGTTTAGGGGCTTTTCCGGGCCATTTTGTCATCCGTACCATATTTCGGACCGAAATCGATTTTTCAGACATTGTTTGCGCATATTTTCCATGTCTTGAAGCTCCTTAGGACTAGCCGGTGAGGGCCCACGTAGCAGGTGGGTCCTACGGCGAATGATTCTTAGAGTCCGCAAAAAGGATAGATGCGATTGCATTGCATGTACTAACGGATGCGATCATACCAGCACTAATGCACCGGATCCCATCAGAACTCCGCAGTTAAGCGTGCTTGGGCGAGAGTAGTACTAGGATGGGTGACCTCCCGGGAAGTCCTCGTGTTGCATCCCTTTTTTTTTTTTCTTTTTTTTTTTTGCTTATGACTTATCACCTTCGGAACGCCATAACTTTAAAACCGTGAGGCCAAACTCGACATGTGATACCTTTTCGGAAAGCCCAAAGAGAGCCCTTCGAGAGGGGCAATGGGCAATGGGTCTTCGTGCCATTGTTTTTTTTTTTCGACACCAAATTTTGATGTTTAGGGGCTTTTCCGGGCCATTTTGTCATCCGTACCATATTTCGGAACCGAAAATCGATTTTTCAGACATTGTTTGCGCATATTTTCCATGTCTTGAAGCTCCTTAGGACTAGCCGGTGAGGCCCACGTAGCAGGTGGGTCCTACGGCGAATGATTCTTAGAGTCCGCAAAAAGGATAGATGCGATTGCATTGCATGTACTGAACGGATGCGATCATACCAGCACTAATGCACCGGATCCCATCAGAACTCCGCAGTTAAGCGTCCTTGGGCGAGAGTAGTACTAGGATGGGTGACCTCCCGGGAAGTCCTCGTGTTGCATCCCTTTTTTTTTTTTCTTTTTTTTTTTTGCTTATGACTTATCACCTTCGGAACGCCATAACTTTAAAACCGTGAGGCCAAACTCGACATGTGATACCTTTTCGGAAAGCCCAAAGAGAGCCCTTCGAGAGGGGCAATGGGCAATGGGTCTTCGTACCATTGTTTTTTTTTTCGACACCAAATTTTGATCGTTTAGGGGCTTTTCCGGGCCATTTTGTCATCCGTACCATATTTCGGGACCGAAATCGATTTTTCAGACATTGTTTGCGCATATTTTCCATTGTCTTGAAGCTCCTTAGGACTAGCTGATGAGGCCCACGTAGCAGGTGGGTCCCTACGGCGAATGATTCTTAGAGTCCGCAAAAAGGATAGATGCGATTGCATTGCATGTACTAACGGATGCGATCATACCAGCACTAATGCACCGGATCCCATCAGAACTCCGCAGTTAAGCGTCCTTGGGCGAGAGTAGTACTAGGATGGGTGACATCCCGGGAAGTCCTCGTGTTGCATCCCTTTTTTTTTTTTCTTTTTTTTTTTTTGCTTATGACTTATCACCTTCGGAACGCCATAACTTTAAAACCGTGAGGCCAAACTCGACATGTGATACCTTTTCGGAAAGCCCAAAGAGAGCCCTTCGAGAGGGGCAATGGGCAATGGGTCTTCGTGCCATTGTTTTTTTTTTCGACACCAAATTTTGATGTTTAGGGGCTTTTCCGGGCCATTTTGTCATCCGTACCATATTTCGGGACCGAAATCGATTTTTCAGACATTGTTTGCGCATATTTTCCTTGTCTTGAAGCTCCTTAGGACTAGCTGGTGAGGCCCACGTAGCAGGTGGGTCCTACGGCGAATGATTCTTAGAGTCCGCAAAAAGGATAGATGCGATTGCATTGCATGTACTAACGGATGCGATCATACCAGCACTAATGCACCGGATCCCATCAGAACTCCGCAGTTAAGCGTGCTTGGGCGAGAGTAGTACTAGGATGGGTGACCTCCCGGGAAGTCCTCGTGTTGCATCCCTTTTTTTTTTTTTCTTTTTTTTTTTTTGCTTATGACTT